TAACAACACTTTGGCGATTGATAAATCAAATCTTTCAGCTTTCTTCTGTTGATATGGTGTAAAGAGGTGGAAAAAGTGTAGCGTAGGTTACTTAAATAAGATTTCGTGTTCAGTTAGAAATCAAGATATACCTGAGCAAAAGTGCCGTCCATCTCCAAGGTGTCCAGACTGACAGCTGCAGTCGAATGCTCCAGCGGTGTTTTTACAGTTGGCCGCATCACTACAGTCATGGCTACCATCGTCACACTCATCGATATCTAAACATAGTAAAATCAAATAGTAAAAATTGAAGGACTAAATGAACTTTAGGCAAAGTACACCTCGCGTGAAATTTCTCATAAATGGGGGAAGGAATTCCAATAGAGCTAGAGGCCAGTAAGTGAAGCAAATTCCATCCGTGGAAATTCTGCTCATGCCATATTTGAAGACTTTGTAATCAACAAACTTTGTTAGGCATAAAATGTGCAGTGAAGTGATGATAGTAGAAAAGAAGAGAAAAAAAGCTAACAAGTTGGTAGCCACGTTCGGCTTTTTTCGGTTTTGTTTTTGGCCTCTGCCTTTGGCCTAGATAGATATTCTTAACAAGGCCTAATGAGCTGTAGATGATATCTATCTTGGTGGCCTATATGCCTACAGAGTAAGCGTAACCACCACTATGGGATAAGTGCGCATCTGTGGCTTGAACATGCCACTCAGTTACCTCTCGTATCCCCATATATCTGCTACTTTCTGTCGTCAATCTCTGTCTGTCTGTCTCTTAATCTGTCTGTCTGAATAAGATATAAATGGTAGCTGACCTAATTTTATCAAGTTTCTCTTATTCGATATGCAAGACTTACTGTCACCACCATTACATTGTTGCTGGTCTTTATATGTGTGTCCACTGTTTTTCTTTTTGTCTTCGTTGTCTTCTTCATTGTATGCAAATCTTACCTTGACAGGTCTCTCCATCGTTAATATATCCAGGTCTACAATGTGAGCACTGATATGAACCCAAAGTATTGACACATTTGCGCTCTGCGGGACAATGGTGTTTTCCTGGTACGCATTCATCAACATCTACACAGAATTGAAGAAAAAAACCAAAGCTAAAAACTCTCCAGGATGAGACATTTCTTCCAACTCTATGAAAGTGGCCCTGCGTATCTATGTACTTTTCTTTCTGTTCCTCTTCCTGCCTGTCCTTTTCACATCTTTTTAGTCAGGATTCTTACGCCTGTTCTCCTGTCTTTTCTCCATCTTAACATTGCACGAATAATTTTTTTGGAAATTATAGCTGGTTAACTTTATTGTAAAATCAATTAAAAATCGAACTGTCTGAACTCATCATTTTATCGTTAGATGTTTTTTCCCTCACCTGT